TGCTGAATTATCAACAGTAGATTTACTGTGTGTACGAAGTTAAGAATGACGAGGCTCATTCACCATAATCGATCGATGGTCTGTACATATATACATGACCGACGCACGCACAACTAGTAATGTCGCGACGAAAGCGCACCATACTACTGAACTGCGACATCAGTCATCAGTGATTATGAGTGTGGTTCAGTCAGTCCATAGTGTACCACTCGTAGTTGCCGCGCCGCAGTTATCATTTATTGGTTGAAACTGCAACGTTAATGTGTACATAGTATATGTTATCATCGAGGCTCTCGATTATAGTTACGACAAACTTCCGAATATAAGTCAGCAGCAGCAACAGCAGCAGCAGCAGCGTATCCTTTCGTTGGCTCGCGATCAATACTCATCCGAACCGAACAGATAATGTGCAGCAGTGCAGCGATTGTTGTCTGTTGTCTCGTGAATAGTTGAGTACCGACTACTGAGCTTATTCCCGTGGTGTCTCGAGTTCTCAGACGAATGTTTCATTTGCGATATAAATTTTTCGCATGTATGTTTATTTTTCCGGTGCAAAATGAATCTGTATTTATACATGGTGTACAAAACGCTGCTCCACATAAATATTATTGTGTCTTGCAAAGAACATTATTGTCGGGGGAAATCCCGAGAAACTCGTTGAGAGTGCAGTAATTGCTGAATATTGTATTCTGTAGCGCGCTTAGACGTGCGATAGAACAAAACGGCGAAGATGAAGAGACAGAATGTCAGGACTTTGTCGTTAGTAGTGTGTACATTTACGTATCTCCTTGTTGGCGCTGCAGTATTTGATGCCCTTGAATCGGACACTGAGAAGAAACGCTGGGAATTTCTCTCGGGTAAATTCTTTATCGCTGTTTGAGTCGATGAATAGTTTTAAGCGAATCGATAATTGATCATTAATTATAATTTTTTTCGCTTTTGATGGAAAATATTATTGTAGAGATACGCCGTAATATGATGAGGAAGTACAATATTACGCCGGAGGACTATAAGATGGTCGAAATTGTAATAATTGAGAACAAGCCACATAAAGCGGGACCGCAATGGAAATTTGCGGGTGCTTTCTATTTTGCCACTTTAGTATTAGCCATGATTGGTGAGTCATGCTTGTGTTCCTTGGTGAAAGAAATTCTCATAATTTCTCATAACATCTTCAAGATTTTTTTATATTATATTTCAAATTTATGAATATTTTGGAAGAATAGTTTAATCTTTAGATTTTATGAGTTTTCTTCACAAATTATAGTATAT